CCCAACCGATACCTATCAAACAATAAATACCTAGAAAAACTCGCATCTTTGGCGCCAAACATACTGTTGGAAGAAATAAGTCAACGTTTTGGCTCTTGCCACCATAAGTTGTATTCATCTGCGGCTGCTTCAGCACCATAAAACCCACACTTCTCCACCCACCAACTCACCATGAAGTCCACCATTCCTCTCCCACAAACTCACCTTCCTGCAATGGCTTCAAACTCCATGAGAAGAACCTCCGGCGGCCCAGAGCTCCTCCCTGATTTACAGTCCGTTAACCAATCCCTCTCCCAACCACCCATCTCTCACCGCCGCAACGCTTCCCTCACCCTCCCAACCTCGAATCCCTCTCCTCATCCCCCCCACCTCCCCCTTCCCCAATGGCAGATCCCACAACACCTTCAAAACTCCCACCTTTCCCCACCTTTAAAGCAGAACAGAGGCATCAGAAACTGGAAGCCGATTCGGATGCTAACCCACATCGGAATGCGGCGAATCAGTTCCCTCTTCTTCGTTGAGCTCATCGCTATTCGCAATCTGCCGGAATCCATGAACGGGCTCCGCCTCTCTGTTCATGTTCGAAAGAGAGAGACAGGGGATGGAGTGGCGCGCGCCATGCCGAGCAGAGTTGTTCATGGTTGTGCTGAGTTTAATGAGTCGCTTTTCATCCAATGCAATGTTCATTGTAGTGGTGGAGGGGCGACAGGGAAGCCGGTGAAGCTTGAGTCTCGTCCGTTCTTAGTTTCGGTTGTGGCCGTCGATGCGGCGGAGCTCGAGTTTGGAAGAACAATGGTGGATTTGAGCGAACTTATTAGGGAGTCCATGGAGGGAAGCTTGGCTGGTGCTAGAATTCGGAAATGGGACGCCGTAATGGAGCTTTCGGGGAAGGCGGGTGGAGGAGAGTTGGGTCTGAGAGTTGGGTTTCAGCTCATGGATGATGGAGGAGTTGGGATATATAATAGGTTGGATGACATGAAAAGATCAAAAGGTAAAGGTTTGCTGAATTTTTCTTCAGGGAGAGGAAGAAGGAAGTCCATGAACTCATTCAGTGTCTCAACTCTGGACTCCAGAGTAAAAAAAATGTCTTTTTTGGATCAATCAAAGGTTGAAGATTTCGACTTTCCAGAGTTTCAGATAGTTGAGAAGGGAACTGAGCCGTTGGCAGGTGGAGAAGATGGTAATGGAGTAGAAAAAACATCAGGTGAAGTTGTGAAGGAAGTAGTTCATAACCGAGCTGAAAAGCAATCTCGGTTGATGGAGCTTGATTCAATCGCTAATGAAATCAGAGATCTCGAGTCAATGATGAGTAAAAATTTGATCTTTACGACAAACACAGCAGAAAAAGAAGAAAAGGAGGAGCTTGATTCCAGTGAGGAGACTGTGACGAAAGAGTTTCTTAAAATGCTTGATACAGAAGCTAACAGCAAGCAGCTGAAAGCTGAAATTTTTGTAGAAGAAGATGAGAACCAGGAGATAAAGGCTCTTCTTCCTTCTCTTGGTAATGGTTTGGGCCCTGTAATTCAGACAAAGGATGGAGGTTTCATGGCATCAATGAATCCATTCAACGAAGAAATAACAGGAAAAGAGGCACCAAAACTTGTTCTGCAAATCTCAAAGCCTTTTGTTCTCAGAGACCTGAGACTTTCAAGTGGATTGGAGGTATTCAGGAGGCTGGCTGCTGTGGGTCTTGAAGAGCTGTGCTCCAGGTTGACCGTAATGGCAGCCATGGATGAGTTGCAGGGTAAAACTGCAGAGAAAATAGCCTTCGAAGGCATTGCATCCGCAATTATAAGCGGAAGGAACAAGGAAGGTGCAAGCTCAATTGCAGCAAAGTCAATTGTTGCTGTAAGGAGAATGATTTCAGCAATGGGTGAAGAAAACAGAAAAGGAACAAGCTTTGATGAGAACCGGAGCATTAAAAAAGATTCGATTTTGCTTGAGGAGATTCTGGCCTTTTCGATTCAGAGGATAGAGGGAATGGTGCTAGAAGCTCTCAAGATCCAAGCAGATTTAGCTGAGGAAGAAGGTTCTTTTGATGTCTCTCCACTAACAGGTATGAGTGCGCACCATTCCATTTGTTTCTACTCTTCTTCCTTAACTAAAAACTAATATTAACAAAACTTCTGCTTGCAGGAACAGAAAGTTCTCATCAAATATTGGATTCAGCCATTTCCATTGATGAACAAGAGAGAACTTTTGAAGAAAACAAGAGACTAACGCTACTAATGATCATTCAGCTGAGAGATCCAGTAAGGCAATATGAGGCCGTTGGGGCTCCATTAATTGCTGTAACACAAGCCATTATGGCAGATAATGATGAAGAAGATGAAGAGGAAACAAGATATAAAGTGATCAGCATCCATGTCGGAGGTTTGAAGGTGGGATCTGGAGAGAAGAGGACTGCTTGGGATGGGGAGAAGAGCAGGTTAACTGCAACTCAATGGCTGGTGGGAAATGGGATGGGAAAGATGGGTAAGAAGAGCAGGACTCCTAAATCAAAGTTGCAGCAGGATTTGTTGTGGAGCTTGTCTTCCAGAAAAATGGAGGACATGTGGTTGAGTTCAGTGAGAAATCCAGATGTGAAGATTGCTTAGGAGAAGGAAAAAATATTGCACAAGGCTTAGAGCTGCCTCCGAATAATGGACGTTATGCAGTTGGGAGCTCGGATCTTCGTTATATCATGTTCGTTGTCTAGACGAAGCGGACTCCTGACACAATATTTTCTTGCTATGTTTTATGTATGAATTATCTGTTTTATTACTGTAATTAAGATGAGATTAGTCTTTCTAGATTTATAATTATGGGTGGGCTTTAAAATGGTCGTCGTTGTGAATAGTTCTTATTCTGCTTGCTTCATTGTGCTTGTTCGATTTATTTGTTAAACAAAGGAATCGAATATGAACGGTTTTTTAAGCGTGATTAGGATTAAGTTTTTTGTTAGACGGTGTTTCCTCGAGCTAGAATTAATTAAATAATTAAGGAAATAATATTATTACAATATTTTTATATTGATTTTTTATGCTATTTAAAATAAATATTAAATTATTTGAGCTAAGTTCTAACCAAATATAAGTATCAACATTAACAACAACAACAGCAAAATCTTCATCCCACTAAGTGGGGCTGACTACATGAATCATTTTTCTCCATTGCATCCTATTTAGGGCCGTGTTTTCATTTAATTCTAAAAAATTTAGATTATTTTTTTTATCATATGCCCAAGTCTTCTTGGGTCCACCTTTGACTTTATTAACATAAGTCGAATCTAAAACATCTACTCTTTCCTAATCAGATAATCAAATGGTCGACATTTAATGTGACCAAATCATCTAAGATGATTCTCTCTAATTTTATCTATGCTTGAGCTAAACCAACCCTATCATGGATATATTCATTTCGCAATTTGTCTCTAATTGTACAACCACTCATCCACCTTATCATCCTCATCTTGGCAACACTTAACTTAGTTCTATGCTTTTGTTTTAAAGGCCAACATTCAACACCATAGAGCAATGCAGGTTTCACCACCATCTTACAAAATTTTCCTTTTAGTTTAAGTGGCACTTTTCTATCACACAAAAGGCTTGAAGCATTCCTCCACTTCAACCAACCAACTTGAATTCTCCTAATAACATCCTCATCAATATCACCATCACTTTAAACAATAGATCCGAGATATCTAAAGCATTCACACTTTCTAATAATTTGATCACCCATAGTCACATTTCTGTCACTAGAACTACTACTACTAAAATTAAAAATTTAAACGAATAAATTAATTTGAGTCAACCTGAACTTGAACATGTTATTCACAAGACATTTCAAACATAAGCTAATTTTAAAAAAAATTAAATAAATAAACATGAGTAAATATTAAGCTCGATCAAATTCAACATGTTCATGGCCATAATATAATCAACTTCTAACTTTTCTTGATTCAATAGTAAATGACGCAAATTTGAACAATATTTTTCATTTCTAGTCAGTTTTGGCGAGTTTATATATTCCTGGATCTTAGAAGTTCCGCAATGAAGCGAATGCTTCCAAATGGCTCTAACGTTTGAGGAAATATTATGTATGATCATCGGTGCATATTAGAGGTGTACGCCCCGAGTATATCTCAAATACATGTTCAGTAAACCCACCTACACATACGAATCATCTAATATATATATAGGGGTGTAAACGAGCCGAACACGAGCGAGCCCGGGCTCAGCTCGTGTTTGGCTCATTTATATAAAATGGTTTTCGTGCTCGCCACGTTTGCTAAACGAGCCGAACACGAGTCGTTCACGAACAAACAGTCCTTTTGACAACCTTAATCACGTAGCCATAAGATGTTAAACATTTGGCAAGATTTAAAACATCATTTGAATCTAATTAATAATTTGCATTATATCTTCTTCATTAATACTTTTAATTGATTATAAATCTTTTTAGCCTTGTAGTCAATTAAATTTTTTAAAAATACTACTCATCAAAGACATATATATAATTGATTAGTAGTATTTCGAGTCAAAACGAGATTTCGGCAACTGATACATATTTATTATATGGATCCCCTCTTTAAAGCCATTGAGCCATTAATGGCTCACTAGCCCAACTACTGCAATTATAATACTTCAATCCTATCTTCCCTTTTCTTCAGAACTGCTGCTCTTTGTTGTTTAAAAAAGAGTTATATCCATATCACTTAATTCTATGTATTTTAAGGTCTAACACATAAATATTAATGTTTGATATA